GGTGCCAAAGCGCTTAATCGAGACGTACCTGATGTTTTTCAGGCACTGTACTAAAAGATCTGCAGCTCAGTGGCAGGGGGGGATTAGAAGAACTTATCCTTTGTTCTAGCCTGGATACCGGCTCTTTGAGAAGGAGCCAGAAGAGGAAGCAGCCAGAATTGACTTCAGGAAGAAGTTCATGAGTGTCATCCTGCCAAGAGATCTGCCCCCTGGGGGTGGGAAGCCTCCAAATTATCATTTGGGGGCAGAAGTCTACCATCCCAACTTCTGCGCTAGACAACTTGACTGCCCACAGCTCATTCCACTCAAATCCTACAGGAGCTGTAATCGGGCCACTTCCTGGAGAGATGTAGATGATCTGGGAGTGCACAAGGATCTAGGTGTTCAGTAAGTAAGATCAACAACAACGCAGACGCTCTCTATCTAGCCTGGGAGTCTAATTCCTGCAGTTCTGCCGTGTTTGACGTTTGGTGGAAGGCTAGATTTCAAGGGCTTCCTGCCTGCAGCACTGCCCTAAAAACCCTTTTTGATTGCTGGGATTCCTAGGTTGTTCATGCAAGAGAGGAAATTCATGGATTCATGGTGCAGACATTTAAAGATATTAACGCACAAATCATAGAAGGTAGATTCCTGATTCTGTCTGTATTTTGCTTATTTTGCCCTTGTGATGATATCTAACATTCGTTTTGTCTACAACAGATCCTTCCCTGACAAGGAATATAAGTGGACAACTTGTCCAGGTTGGAGAGGTGATTGGTAAGTTCTCTAACATTCTGTTCCTTCTATTATTTTCCTGCTGGATTGACTTCTAACTTTGTCCGTTTCTTGTGCAGTCACTTCTATCATTACTGCCGGAGATTGGAGCTCCCTTATGAAGATGAGGATGATGAAACTCTAGTAGAGCAACCAACTATTGAGGCCACTCCTTCTTCCAGAAGGAAGAGGAAAGAAACTGCTCCTGCTCAGGACAGCGCTGCCCGGCCTAAAGTTTTGGTAAGATTTTGACATTTCCAACCGTATCCTTGAATTTGTTCTGTTTTGCCCTTTTTCTAACCTCCATTCCCCTATTCTATGCAGCTAAAAGTCCTCCTCCTCCTACCAGGTCAAAAAGGCTTAGAAAGAGGACTGGAGTTGAATCTGATGAGACAGAAGAACCTGCAGTTGTTCCAACTGAGACTTTTGAAACTGATAATGAGCTGCGAGAGGCTTTCGAAGCTGTTGAGCACGAGAAGGGACAACAAGAAGAAGAAGATGTCCCTCTAAAAAAGAAGGGAAAGGAGCCTGAAGAAGGGGTGAGACCCTTTTACTTGCTGTGTGAATTTTTGTATTGGTCCTTTCTTTTATCTGACTTCTGTCCATCTTTTAATTTAAAAGTATGCTAAGTCAGTTCTTAACAATGAGAAAATTATAATTGAACTCATGAAAAGATAATAGCACTTAACATCAATCAAAATAAAAGGATATGAAAATATTGAACAACCATAAATAAAAGAATTTAGCAATTCGTACCGTATATTGGATTAAAGCACAATTCACAAACTTACTCAAAGAACATTCCCTTTAGCCTTAGCTAGAGTTCTAGGGGTGCCCTTGCCAAATAAGTTGATGGGTGATTTATAGTAGTTAATGAGGTGAGTGGGAAGTTAATACATTCGTGGTGGGTGATGAAGGGTTTAACTGAGGTATTAATTGGATTAAACATGTTGATGGTGGAGAGTTAGTGGAAAAGAAATAACGGTGAGGTAAGTGGGCGTTAAATGGCTATGAATGACATGAAATCGGCTCTTAAGCTTCAACAGTTTTGTCTTCTCTTCTCCCTTTTTACTTCTCTTTATAATCACAATAATCCCACAATCAATTCTTCAATAAAATCCGCCAGCAATTCTCTTCACACCTAGCTTGAACTTGGACAAATGTATGTCTTTATCTTTTGGCTTTCCAAATTCCTACAGAAGATAAATTCACCTAATAAGTTCACCAAATTAATATAAAAAATTCATAAATCCAGTTGGTGAGAATAGAATGTAACAACAAGTGAAATTATATTTATTAAGCCAAAATTGTATCATAAAGTCTCCAAAATAATATTCACCGGTAAGTTATAGTGTATCTGAGAACACAACATCTTCATTGTAATTTGTTGAGTAAATAGACTTATTTTCTAAAAACACCATATTTTACCAGCAAATTTGGATGATCTCTCCAGCCCAGATTGTAGGTCTTTGAAAATAGGTCATACCTAGGTTGATTTTGGCCTTGATAACCTATGGCATTGGCACTTTCCCATCCCCCATTCTCTATTAATGGAGGACATTGATTAGTGGGGTGTCCATGCATAGAGCACACGCTACAAGTGTCTGTACTTTGTACTTTGGATCCTTCAACAACCTGCAAAATAAGAGTAGAGAGATTAGCCATTTGAGATTGAAGTTCCGAAATAGCACTTTGTACTGGACTTGGCCGTGTATGATCTCTCCCTCCAACTCCTTCGTATTGTTGTGCATTCAAAGCTCGGTTTGCTATTAAGATCTTCGCAGCAACTGGTGTTTTGTCAACCAGAGCACCTCCCACTGAAGCATCAAGCATTTGTCTCTCTAGCGGAAGTAGTCCTTCATAGAAATATTGAATTAAAAGCTC